CAGTTCTCAAAACTTTGAGCTTTCGACCATAGATTAAAACTTGGAAAATACCTCGATCACTTCACTTTTCTTCTTGATCAAGTAAGTCCACAGTTTTCGACAAAAATCATCTATGAATGTAACAAAGTATTTGTTACCTCCATTCTAATCCACCTGGATTGGTCCACATACATTAGAGTATATGACTTCAAGAATAACCTTCAACTTGCTTCCTGCATCCTTGTTTAATTTGTTCTTGTGTTGCTTCGCCTGCACACATTCCTCACACACCTCATTTGGAATGTCGATTTTTGGTAACCCTGGAACCATATTTCTTTTTTTCAAATCTCTGGTGTCTTTGAAGTTGAGATGTCCTGGTCGATAGTGTCGTATCCATTCATCTTTTTTAGCTGCAGTCAAAAGGAACTTGTGCTCCATCACATTAAGTTCAATCTTGAAGATTCTATTTTGAGACATGGGCGCCTTCAAGATTAACCTTCCATTTGCATTGATGACTTTCGTCATCTTGTCTTTGATCAACACACTTTATAGTTCTTTTCGACTAACTGTCATATACTGAGCAAATTGCTCTTCATACCTGATATGTACAACACATTGGAAATCACTGACCTCATATCATCTTTCCTCATAATCATAACATCACCAATACCTTCAGCTGCTAGGGTATTATCATTTGCGAATTTCAGTGTTCTTCATCGAGGTTTTTATGTTGAGATACCAATCTTTCTTTCCTTTCATGTGTGATGGGCATCCTGAATCCAAGTACCATTGGTCCTTGAATCTATCTTTATCTCTTATTGTGACCATCAGCATCATCTCTTATTCTTCATGTTTTGTAAAATATGCATCAATTTCTTGATTCTTTCGCTTTTCTGAACAATTACTAGAATAGTAATCATACTTCTGACAATTGAAATATTGAATGTGACTCGTCATTCTTTCGACCGCCACCTTTTCCTCTATTAGCAACACCACCTTTTTGGTTGCCTTGGTATAGTCTTCTATGATTTGACATATTTTCTTCGTGTTGGTTTCCTCTACAAGTCGAATTGTTGTAGCCTCCTCTACCTTTGTTGTCGAACCACTTTCCTTTATTTTTCTTATCTTTTGTTGATTGAACCTACAAAGCCACATCACTCTTCGACTTTCCTGCAGCTCTTTCAGCCATTCTTTGTTCATGAGATTCAAGCGTCCCTTGAAGCTCTTCCTTCGACAAAGTTGACATGTCCTTCGACTTTTCTATGGATACCACTATGTGGTCGAACTTTGGATCCAAAGATCTCAGGATCTTTGAAACAACTGCTTTTGTTGTTAACGTCTCTCCATAAACCTTGATTTGGTTCACTAGTTTTGTAACCCTAGTGAAGAAATCAGATATGCTCTTATTATCGTCCATTTGAAGCAATTTATACGTTCTTTTGTGAGTTTGTAACCTCGTCTCTTTCACCTTTTATGCACCTCCAAAAAATTTCTTAATTGATGAATTACAAAGAGAGATTTATAATTTTTCTTCTTTGATTCTTTGTATTCCTTCTCTTTTTCTTTTGAGGCGTCTTCTTCAAGCGGTTCTAATCCATATTTCACAAAATCCCAAAGATCTTGACAATAAAACACAATCTTCATCTACTTGCACCAATTCTCGTAGTTATCTGCTTTAAGAATTGGAAGACTTATTGGAAAGTGTTTGTTTGAATGATTCATAACCATCGTGATTCTCTTCTTCTTCTTCTTCCCTTGATTGCTCAATCATCGCTCTTGATACCAGTTGTTGGAAATCCACAAACATATGATGAATTTCTATCAATCTTGATGAGCAAGATTGTTATCACTACACAATGACAACGAAAATATGAAAGAAAGAAAGAGAAGACAATAATTTTCTGCATAGTTTCTCTCTACCCACAAACTATGAAAAACTTCTTATTCACTTGCAACTGCAAATTCTGTGGACACAACTTGATTACAAAAAATAGGGGTTACTCCCACTATTTTTAGATTTAGGTCAGCTTGCTCTTTAAGCCAAAGCCCAAAATGCATATTTTGAAGCTAAATCAAATCTATCTATTTTAGACTTAAATCAAATCTATCTATTTTAGATCTAAATCAAATTTGTGTGTAACAAACTATTTTCACACTTCGACACAATCTTTTTGACACTTCCTTGTTTTCTGTCGAATAAGTTGATTCGACACAAGAAATTATACTTTCAACAAATCGAAAGTCTTTCTGATACGATACCCGATCCAATTTTTATAATATTATAAAAAATAAACCCTTATATTTATAATTTCCATATCTCTTTTAATTAGATCCCTCGTCAAAATTCTACCTAAGTAGACGGAATTTGATGTGCTTACCTAACTAGGCTAATTTCATTATGAATCACCATTTATCAATTTTTTTATTCGCATGTATTATAAATTTAGAGAATTTCTTTGTCCACCTCTATATGTTGAGTTATATTCTTGAAAATTCGAAAATATTTTTTGGATGTGCATATCCGAACACATCTCATATTTAATTTTAGGGGTTTTCGAATATGCATATTCAAAGTATTCCAATAATTTATTTTCAAGAATTTTCGGATATACATATCTGAAATATTTTAATATTTGTATCAATATGCATATCCTAAGTATTTTAATATTTATATCAATTAGAATCAAAGTGTATCAGTTATATTAATTGATATATTTTATAAGGCAAAATACTCATTTTAGTCCCTTAATTATAGGTCATGGTTCACTTTGATCCCTTATCTTTTTTCGTGCTAAATTGATTCCTTAATTTTCAAAATGATACAAACAAGTCTGTGTCGTCTACTCCGTTAGTCAAACTCTGTTAAAAGTCTACGTGGCACATTTGACCAACTATTGTGACGGATTTAGCGTCGGAAAAACCAACGCTAAAAACTATTTATGAATTTTAATTAATGTTGTTCATCTCCTTCCCCAAATTTAACCCAGAATGAAACTCATAACCAAAGTTTAACCCTTTTTGCTTACAAAAATCCAGAAATTTGGAGATAAGAATTTCTTAGCATTACTAAGCAACCCATTAAAGACATTGGAAACGATAACAAAGATGCAACCCTTTTAGCATTGGGAGCTGATCATGTTAATCCTAATAGAGCACTTGACATGGGTCTTGTTTATGATGTTGGTGTATAAGATTACTGCCAATAACAAAACATCACTGCCATTTCAAGATTCTCTTCCAACAATTGCTCTAAACCGTCCTTAGATCTTAACTACCCTTCTTTTATCACTTTCATAAAGGCTGGAAATACTTCTGTAAGGACAACCCGTGAATTTCACAGAACAGTTACCAATGTTGGTGAAGGAAAGTCAACGTATGTTGCTAGCATTATTCCAATTAAAGGGTTCAATATCAGTGTCGTACCAGATACGTTTGAAATGAAAACACCTCCAACAGCTCTTGCTAAAAACACGTTAGAAACTTGACTAGAAACAACAGATTCATTCTTGTCTTCACAAACTACAATTTTGTTCTTAAATGGGATTACTTCTTGTTTCCAACTACTTGGTTCAAGTTGCAACTCACTCCAAATCAACTATATGGTGTCTCTTCCAAGGTATCATCAAAAATCCTTTTTTCCCTTTCTCCACAAACTAACTCAAATTGCAACCAGAAAATTTGGAAGAATGAATGAAATAAATTGGGTTTTTGTAAGAAACACAGTAATTTAGTAAGAAATTCTGGGTTTTTATTGTTATTTCCAAATTTATGGGTTTTTGTAAGCAAAAAGGGTTAAATTTTGGTTATGGGTTTCATTCTGGGTTAAATTTGGGAAAGGAGATGAACAATATTGATTAAAATCCAGAAATAATTTTTAGCGTCGTTTTTCCGACGCTAACTCTGTCACAATAGTTAATCAAACGTGTCACATAGACTTTTAACAGAGTTTAACTAACGGAGTAGACGGTAGAGACTTGTTTGTATTGTTTTAAAAATTAAAAGATCAACTTGGTACGAAAAAAAGATAAAGGACCAAAGTGTACTATGACCTATAGTTAAGGGACCAAAATGAGTATTTTGCCTAATCTCAGTGTTCTAGACCTTGCGTTCATGCGTCTCTGACCTTTACGCGACCTAACGTAAAAAATTCAATTTTCTAGAAAATCGACTCAGAATTACCATGTCAATTCATCCAAAAAAAATCAGAGATCAATATTGAGACAAAATAAAGAACCCCATCCTAAAAACCCTAAATTTTTTACTTTTCTATTTTATTTTATTTATTTCCCATTTTTCATATTTCCGAAAAAATTTATAGACGCTAAATTTAATTTTATTTGATTATTAGTTGTATTTTTAAAAATTTTATAACAAAATAAAATTCAGAAATACATATCTGAAATTGTTTTTTCCGTAAAAAATAAGATTTATTCAGATATGTATATCTAAACTTGAATGCGGAGATACACTATCAAAGAATCTTTCCGGTAAACTCCCCGCATTTTTGGGGGGTGGATTGAAAACTCCCTGGAAGAAAACATATTGTTCTTCCCGAGTCATTTTAATCCTCAACCTCAAGTCCTACATTGGACTCAAGAAACTCACAAATTGAAAGGAGGGTCCTGATATTAACTGGTTTCTAGCTATGCATTTTCTTCCGTCTTCATTTTGGGCTATATAGCAATACTCAGTAAGAAGGGGAGGGGATTATTTCCAACATCCCTAGGTTGCAATATATAATTTCTATTTGATCAAAATTTCATATAAACAAATCTGAGAATCCACAAATTCACATTGTTATCAAGAAACAAAAAACACTGCACTAAGTAAAGTTCAACCAATGTGCTTGAGTCGTGACCATGTACAAGAGCTTACAGCTAAACATTTTCCTTTTTATGTCCAAGCTGACCTTTACCAGACATTGGTGAGGGACAAATGAGAAGGGGTAATCAAAATCTAAATATCTAAGCTGCTAAACTTACAGATGGAAAGAATATGCTATTATGATACAATGAATGTTTTTATCGTTGTGTGCCCTGATCGGGTGTGTGGTTGCTTGTTGTAGACGATGCTGTCCTACCGTTCACCATTCCATTGTCCATTGGGGGACTAGATCCCCACTTCCCCTCTGATTCATTCGGCTCTACCACTTTCACTGACCCATCAGTCAGTCCAAGAGCAAATTGGTTGGGTTCTAGTGGATGAGCTGCCACAACAAAAGGATACACCGCTTGGCCTCTGCAATATGACATTTTACAACACCAGTAACGAGTCAAGTTCCATCGCAAATATTGAACAATCGTGAATCACAAATTGAAACTAAAACTTCGCAACAATTCCTTGATTAAGTGTTCAATATTCAATATAATAAAAACTAATAGTTGGGTGCCGTCCATTACACTTAAACTTACCCGTTTAAAGTCGCTGGTGTGAAGTACGTTGATGGTGCAATGCGACATCTTAGTTTCAAGCTGTCAGCATCAAAAACCCCAGTATTGCCATCACAAAATGTAGCATAAACTAACTGACTGTTGCAAGAATAAGCTGCATATGATATGGGAGCAGGCAGAACATCTTGTGGGACCCACTGCAACGATTAATGCACATATATCAATATTAGTTTTATCAGCAGCCCAACATTCACTTCAGTAATACTAACTAAGAGTATAATTTTACCTGTCTAATGCGTTCCATCTTAGAGGCATCATAGATTGCCAATTGGGTCTCATGTGATACCAATAACCGGAGTTGGTCTGAATGGAACTGTACTCGAGTTTCACCAACAGGAGCCTTCCCCACAGGTAGTTGTATAGGAACGGATTTTCTTTTCTCCCATGTATCAATACTCCACACGCAGAGCTGTCCAGAAATTATTTCAGTTGAGTTAATGGTTTTCAAAATGCACACTGTATGCTATTTTATCATCTTTTATACCACAGGAAGCAAAACTATTGACTGATAACTAACAAAGAGATCTCCAAAATAAATTTGGAAAAAACTAACATGCGCCTCAAGTGCACAAGTTAATAAGTTATTTGTAGAAATATTCTCTTGGAACGTGTACATTCAATGTTTTGAAACTTTAAATATGACTTTATTACATTTAATTATATTTAAATTTTTCTAATTATAGTATCCTTAACATGTGCCCTTAGGGCACATGTTAGCATGACCCAATAAACTATTATTGTTGGGTACTAAATGATATGAATAAGAGGTTTCTCATGTCATTCTGAACCTAACATGAAAGAACGGTTAAAAGACTTACATTAGCATCAGCACCAGATGAAACCAAGATGCCAAGATTGGTTGAAAAAGCTAAACCAGAAATCCGCTTTTGGTGACCCTTCAATCTTGATTTCACCTAGAAGATATCCCAAGAAAAGACATGAGATAATTAAAATAATAATGATTTAACTCTTAAAATGATGGAAGCAATTGAAGATAGTAATCACCTCATCCACTCTAACATTATAAATGTGAATAGTTGAATCCTCCATCCCGATGGCTATGATATTGTTATCCATAGGGTGGAAAGCCAGATACGTAGAGGCAGGAGGTGGAGACATGAATGTTGTCATTACCTATAAGGAAGTAAATTATAAATTATGGGTAAACATAGCAACTAGATGAATTATGAATATCCTGCTGTGTCCAGCGCCAGCGCACATACCTTGAACGTCATCATGTTAAATAATGAAACCTTTCCCCCACATGCAGACATAACATATGAATCATTCTTTGAGAGTGCAATGCAAGGAACAGCTTCTTCAAGGTTGACACCTGAGACATCATTGGTCATAAGAAGACCACTGTTGGGTTGCCAATGTTGCGGAGCAGCACTGGCAGTCGCCTAAAATAATATACACTTCAGAATTTAGTTACCTATTGAAAGGGGAAAAAGTAATAAAAAAGATTTATAGAGAAAGGACTTGAGAGAGATGCAGGTAAATATTAACTTTACCTTCCCACTAGGATTCTGTTCATTCCGCGACCACTTCCACAGCTTCTGAACACCATTTGAACCAAGGGCCAAAATACCAGCTCCAGAATTTGTATATAAAAGTCGTACAACCTATACATGCTCCAGTGTTACAGAAGTTCACAGAACACATTATGTAATAGAAAATAGCTTGCTAATTGTCACATAATCAACAGTAAACAAACCTTGCAGGAAGTATCTGGGCTGTCAGGCATGCTAACTAGTCGACAGTGGGCAGGATCCACAATTTCAGAGAGCTGCCATGATTTAGTTCGATCTATTACATCTTCCACTGTCCTGGGTTTATCCACATTTCTAACCGTAGGATCAACTCCGTTCTGTATTGAAAATAGAAAAACCATCAATGTGTTATAAACAAGTTATCAATGTTATTCTAAGAAGCCAGTAAAATGGATATTATGTAGTATATTCTAATAGGAAGGAGGGCCTAGAGGAGAGTTATTGAGTGGCCAGTGGTATCAAGGGAAAACAAGATTGTGTTGAGAGATTGTTAGGATAAAAAATATTGGATAATTACATTTACATTAGTTAAGAATTAGTTAGTTGGCTGATAAGTTTGTTAGGTGGTTGTTATGAGTTGTTTCGTTGGCTATTCTTAGAAAGTATTTAAAAAGCCCTCAACTGATAGAGGGGAACAATAGCTTCGAATAATTAAATTGTAACTAGAAAAAGCTCTAGTGAAAGAAGAGTGCCCCTTTGGATATCTCACTACACAAATAAAAAATTCTTCAGTTGTTTGCAATCTTTATCTTTATTCATTTGAGTTTGTTTTACCAATTCTTGAAGATTAGAATTATTAGGTTCCTAATAAGAGAGGAATTTAGGAGAAGGAAAGGATTAATGGGCTCCATACAAGAATTTGAGAAGGCCTCGCAGGGGAGCTCCTTTCCACTTTACAGCTGACAGGACCAATATTAACAGAAGAGCCGGATACCTAAATAACAAACATAATAAACTTGTTAATACATGTTTTGATCCAAATATCAAGAACCAAAGAAAAGCTAAGAACTATAGCACAACCTTGTTTGCAGTAGATTCAATGGGAGACCTCAATGCTTCAAATGCTGGAGTTTCATTTGTTCTTAGGGATCTAAGACCAGCAGCATTAGCGAGAATTTTGAATCCATTATCTGCGGTACTGACAGCAAGAAGATTTCCTTCTTTATTGAATCTCAAGTGTGGAAGTCCCTGAATAAATTCACACAATCATGTGAGGGATGTTTCGTGAAGTGCAAGTTATGTTCCAGAATACATAAAACAATCAAGCCCACCTGTAGTCCACCCTCTGCATCGATGCTTGTTAGAAGATTAACGTTATCCATGTCCCAAAACTTTATTTGGCCGTCTTCACCAGCAGCCAAAAAACGATTCTGGGTTGTGTCAAACTGGACTACACCGGCAGATTTCTTTCTGAACCCATTGTATGTTCTCCTAATTGCTCCCTCACTTTCATTCCATTCAACAAGGAATGACTCTCCATCTTTACTCGTCCCACAAGAAAATAATCTAGAGAAATAGGTTGAGAAAAAAAGAAGGCATGTTGATACAGTTTTCCATTAAATACCACCACAGTTATCTGACAATTTGACAATTATCCCCATTAAAATCTCTTACCTTGTTCCATCAGCACTGTAAAGCATTGTAGTACACCAGTGACCAGGGGCATCGTAGTCAACCCTAGAACCCATATTATCATATAGCCAAGCTTTTATTTTGCCATCAATGGCTGTTGAAAATATGAACTGCGAAGTTTCAATAACAAACTTTAGTAACACTGAGCGGTGTTAATGGAATAATACAATTATAGACAAAATGCATACAAAACTCATGTAAACAAAGAGTACTTGAGTTTCCTAGATTCTGAATTTTCTTTGCTTCCAAATTAACAATGAAAGAATTGGTAGTGTGGATTAAAAGATGGTGCTGGAAATATGGGAAAGATATAAAACAGGTTTCCATCTTTATTATTGGGAGCATTTTATGTATGATACTTTTTTCCAAATCATGAGGAGACAACAGAACCTAAAATGCTAGAAGATTATGTACAACAAAATTGCATGTAGGACATGCCGGAAATTTTGTCTTATTTGATGTGCTTGTTGACTTGAAGAAATCGTAATGTCAATGACAATGTACAAGAGGTGAGAGGATGTAGTAGCAATCCTATAAACAATTCTACAGTCCTGCCAGCTCAATTAGGATTAGTAGTACGGAAGTGCATATTTAAACTGTGGAGTGCTGACTTCAAAGTCATGGATGAAAAACAACTGATATAATAGACACAAAATTATGAGGAATTGCAAATTGCAACTTTCTAGTGACTACAATGAATTAAAGATGTTTTTATATCTTCATAAATTAAATCACAAATCCCAATGAAGATGGCTAAAGTTACATAATAACAAAACTACCAAATTACTATAATCTACGGAAAGCTGCATGATACCTTCTGAAGAATAAACTACCAGAAAAATATATATCTCTTCCTACCTGAATGTTCTCCTTGTGATGAGGACAGACAGAATATACTGGAGCCTCATGCCCTTCAAAGTTAAATAACCTCCGTCCCGTTAAATCCCACACCTGATAAGAGTTTCATTTTCAGAAAAAATAGACAACTTATTTGCATAATAAAAAATGAAAACTTGTAGATCTTGTGCACCTTAATCAACTTATCATCTCCACAAGTCACAATACAAAGTTGTTTATTTGGATGAGCAAATGCCAAATCATTCACACCACCAATATGGGCATCAATCTGCACCAAGAAAGAAATATAAATCAAACTGCAATTACAACTTTAGCTACCTTTATAAGAATAACTGACCTCTATACGCTGGGCAAGCTCATTTGATCCATTGAAGGCATATATGTGAATCAAATGTTTGGCGAATGCAACACCTACACCAAAGCAACCAGTTAGATATTGAATCAAACAGCTTCAAAATATGTTTTAAAAACATAACATACCCACAAAACTTCCATCAAGGCTCCATGTGACACGCCTGACAGAAATAGGTGTTTCTTTGACCATAGCTGCCTGTGAAATTAAATTCTCAACTATATAAGATTCCAATGGTTTTGAATTCTCAAGAAACAAAGACCCCTTAGTATTTTAGAGAGAAAATACTTAACAATGAGAAAATCATTAACAAATGAAATTCAAACCTGAAATGGTAATGAGCATGCTGATATATCCCATATCTTGAATGGTTTTGACACCAACCTTTCTCGCAAACCAAGTTCCCAAAGCGAAATTTCACCGTTATTAGAACCAACTGTTCATGGAAAAATGCAGTCATATAATACTTGTCAGGGTTTTAGTAGTGGAACAATTTATACGTAAACACAAAAATTATAGGAAATACCGAGGAGTAAGGTTTGGTGAGAAGGATGAAAATCCATGCTTGTCACAGAGGATCCTTGATGCAAAGACATAGCTACTGTTCTTGGAAGATCATCCAGCGACCAAGAGGCGTGTCGAGCCGAAGGATAAGAAACCTAAGATGACAGAAATGAACATTAGTGATGAGTCGGACAATTTATGTGCATAGAGAAACCCAATCTAATCATATCTTAAACAGAAGATTACTGTTATTACCTCCTCCACAGAAGGAGTAGGCCGGAGTCTTTTCATTAGCTGTTCATGATCACTATTCTGATACTCAACCATGCCAGGAGTGGTTGAAGGTGTTCTTGGACGCTTCAAGATAGACACTGTTAACCAAATGACAGGAGCACAAATCACGACACCCTCTAACACCGAGGTTATTGAACATTTAAAATACTAAGCAATACTTCAGAATTGCTATCCTGCTTAGTTACATAATTTTGTTTTATAAATGCAATTTGAACTGCTAGGACACTAGTTACCATAATTGTGTTCAAATGAAGCTAAACAGGTGAAAAAACTAGGACGTGAAGGATAAAGTTTAATAGGACTTATGATGCGAGTTACTGGCAAAATTAAGGTAAACACATTTTATTAAGATAAAAGGGCAAAAAGAAAACCAAATTTTTAACCTTGATTCTGTGGGACCGGTATGGGTGATGCGGTGACAACAGCAGCTTGGACAGATGACGAAACTGAGGCATTGGCCATCCAACCAGACAAAGCATTAGCATTAGTAGTTGCTGCGGCAGGTGGAAAGGGCTAAAGAAAGAAATGAAAACAAAATATTCATTAATCAGCATGATAAATTAGATATATAAGTGTAAGGAACCAATTATTGAAATGCAGGGTAACATACACCATGAGCTCCCACTCCAAGGGAAGTATAAGCAGCAGGCCTTGCAACAGCAGAAACTGGAAGATTGACAGGTGTTGGTGCGAGAGGACCATTGGAAGGTGAACATGAGTGATCGATAAATAAAGTTTTTATATCTGGGTTTGGCCTTGGGTTTTTGCAAAGCTGGTGCTGCCAGTTCAAACTGAATTAACAAAAGGCGGAGAAGGATTAATAACAGAGAAGGCAAGGCATATCACACAAAATCCAACAATTAAAACTTAAATGAAAAATGTGGCCAAACTTATAAATTCTTTTCATTAATCAAGTAATCTAATCAACAATTGATTTTATGTAAGGAGTTAAAATCTCATGCAAAAGTCAAAGAGATATAGTATTTGTATGTATCAGGAAGGCAAAAGCCACGAAAACTTCTTTCCATTTTTCCATTGCAATGAGACCCCAATAAAGTATGAAGCAGTTAGTTAGAAAACACAATAAAGTAAATTCTAATGAACTGTGTGTGCAGGGTTAGACTAGGTTGAAAACTTTAACCTGGATATTTATCTATTATTATAGCATCTATACCTTTGATTGATTAATGTCCGCAATCTTGACGACTTCAATGCAGGAAAGATAAGCTTATCACGGAACAGAGGATTTGCCTCTATGAGCTTTTTTAGCTCTAACAGCATAATTCCTCGAGCAGTTTTGGTGTCACCATACTTGGACAGCTGCTCATTCTCCCTGACATATGAAATGAAAAGGAAAAACTTATAATGAATCTGATAAGTCTACTGGTCATAAAAGACATATAACACAGTTATATAAGCTTAGTACTTCATAATCTCCACCCTGCTATCATTTTATGAGTCTTGAATGAATATTCAAGAATACTAATGTTTGAACCAGACTAGATTAACTTCATTTTTCTCACCAATGTAACAGACAAGATAAGATATGACCTACAAACAGTATTGTATTACACCGGACTATGTATTCAACACATTACCTGAAATTAGTAAGAGTTAACAGCTGGGTTATTTCTTTGTATAGTTCTTCATTGAAGGTGGCGAATACTTTTAAATCACCCACTAATATCTCAACAGCCTTTGGCTTGTCTTGCCTAAAATTTAAAAACATCAAAGACAAAGCAACATGTTAAGTACTTTAATAAACACAAATACAACTAGAAAAATCCGAAAAGGATCAAGAATTGTAGGTAATAATATATACCTATCGAGTGCTTCCAGATATTTCTGCTTCCTGATTTCAAAGAATATTTTCATGGAGTATCTATTATCATCAACTTTGGTAAACCCTGATAAATACTTCTCAACTTCTTCCCATTCACCTGCCTGTACTTTTTCCTCAAAGTATTTCATATTGAAGTAAAACCCGGATTCTTTCTCAAGCCTGCACGGTAAACAAGCGTTATAAAGAAAGAAATAAGATGTAATGATGAGGTACAAAATGGGAAACATTCAGCAATGAAAGAGAGAGATTTCAATTAATTTTATCATCATCTACATTCCAATTTATAAGTGATGGGACGGTGAATCTCAGCCTTTGTTGTTACCATTAAAAAAATTACAATTACTGCACTTGACAACTACAGCTTTCATATTCAAAAAATAAGTTTCTTTCCACATTTTGTAGGGCAACCCTGTCAATCTGGCAAGATTGTTAAATCTTGATACGAAGTTTAATAAACAGGCTACGATTTTGATGCACAGAAAGTACTTGTCTATTAACGCATGATTTTAATTGCAGTCTGCAACCGCTATTGTGGCCGCAACATTGTTGATGCGGCAGTATCCGCAATCGCATCGAACCACAATTGCACTGGGATTTTAAAATAACACATTTGGCCACATTAGGAACTATATCAAACAATCTTCAAGTACTTTCATCAAAACTGTCGAGTTCAAAACCCCAAAACTCAATTTACTTCTGATATAATTAAAAATCTTAACATTAAGTGTTTTTCAACGTTGTATTTAGAACTTCTCTCAATCAAAATTCATGCCACAACGATTGCACTACGCATCGCAGCAACCGCAATAACCGCAATCGCAATACACGTAACAGCAACCGCATTTGCGACTGGAATTTAAAACCATATATTAATGTATCGACAGATTACATTAATTCACTACCATGCACTTATTCCACTCATGACTCAGTTTTCCATATACAAGGAAACCAGGTTAAATTAATACAAAAAATTGAAAGAAAAAAAGTCATTCCTTTCATATCTTTGTCATTAAGCCCAATTCCAATACAATTCACAATCCAGAACATAGCTAAAGACCAAAACCAAGGTTTTAAAAATCGGTCCGATACCGCGAAAACGGACGCAACAAAACAGTATTGGAAGGTACCAATACCGTTATTCAGTGTTATTATGATGAAAAAGATATCACGGTTAATTCACACCGCGACGACTACAATCAATATTGCAACACCTGTTCTGACCCGACCCGACCGAAATCACGATTTACAAGATCGCAACAAGATTGCTACCGTTATTTAAAACCTTGACCAAAACTACTACACAGACAGATTAGTCAATTACCAATAACACCTTTCAATATCAAAAAAAATAATGTCCATCTATATAACACCAACAACAACAACAATAAATATTAACAAAAATCATGATAAATTCAAAAAAAAAAAAAAATCTTCACCCATAAAGTAAAATTTGCACGAGAAAAACACAAAATCAATGACAAATAAAATAGCAAGGAAGATAAATCACCTATGCACGGAGTCTTTGAATTTCTCCTCTTCCAGAAACTGGAGTATCAGAAACACCAACTCTCTGCTCAAAGAAGTCATCTCCGGTGCTCAAATCCAAATCACACAAATCTATAAACACCGATCTTCAATTCCAAACACAAAAAACATGAAATTAGTATAAAAATTCAATTCACCAACAACAACAAAACACAAATTAAACATGAATTTTGAAGCTTAAACTTGAAATCCAAACTTACAGAGTCGAAAACGTGAAAAACCCCAAGGGAATTATTACAAGCGGAGAAATTCTAGGGTTTGAAAGACTGCGGATAAGAGAGAGAGAGAGAGAGAGAGAGAGAGAGAGAAAAACTCCGTTTCGCTATCTTCGATGCATTTATATAATGTACACAGAAGGGTCTTTCATTTTCTACTGACCTATCAGAGATAACTACAATAGCTTATTTGATAAGGTAGTTTGCTTATCATGATAAGTTATATTATTTTATAAGTTGAGAGTTTTGCGGATTCGAAACTAGTTATTAAAATCTAGTGAATATTCCAACACACGTCCACTCGGAACACTCTCTTTTCTCTACCGTCGCTTTCTTTTTTAAATGATAATGTTTTTTTTTTTTTACAATTATTTATTTTATTTATTGGACACTTTATTTATGTTACTGTTTTCTCGTTGCTTTGGAGTTTCTCGCGAGAAATTGGGGTTTTGATGTTTACGAGGATGTGAGAACACGCGCTTGTAAGTATTTGTTGTGGGGACCATGTAAAATTTGTCGTTTTGTTTGTTTTGAGGGTTTAGTTATGTGTTTGGTAATGAGGCATTTGTTTCGGGTGAGTGAATTTAGCTAATAAGAGAATGGAAAATTCATCTCACGAGAATCAAGCAATGTCGTATAGGTATAACCGCATATACACGTGTAAGACAAAACTAAAGACCAAAAATAAAGAATGGTAATGGTAGTAGTAATAAATTTCAAAATGAAAATACATAAAAATACAATAAAAAATTATATAATTATAACACTTTTATTAATACTCCCACTAATTCTTTTTTATAAAACAAAAATTTAATTTTTTTATACATATTAAATAATAAATATATCTAGACTATATTTCAATCAGATAAGAATATATTTAAAAAATAAATTTTTTAATTTAAAATTATAAAAGTAATATTATTAATTATTTATGTATTTCAATCATCATAAATACTAGTGTGTATACTCTTGCGACCCACGGGTTAAATAATTTTTTTTGGAATAAAAGATAATTTTTATATTTTCAAAAACAATAATTACAAGCCGATCTCCAAGGATCCAGGAAGCAAGAAAAACTAGAAAATTGAACCAAACTAACCAACTTTACTCAATACAAAGAAGTTCCATATTGATGTGGTTAGCAATTTTCTTGTATCATATACATCTCAAGACAATACTTTCTATAATCATATCCTTTATTGTATCATCGGCACACATTGGTTAAAAATTAAATCATTGCGCATTCTCCAAACAGGGTACATTGTTTCTACAGCCGCAACTTTAAGAATGCATCTTCTCCAGCCATTTTCCTTGTTTCATTGATGAGCCAAGTCTTCTCGATATTCCAAAGGGGGGGCTGTTAAAGCCAATCCACCTGAGAATATGCTACCAAATATCCCTAGTTTTACTGCAATCAAACAGCAAATGATCCATAGCTTCGGTTTCAGTACAGGAAGCACACTTTGCATCCATATTGGGTCCATAACGATTCAGCCTATCTTTTGTTGGAAGTTTTCCCTTGATTGCAAGTCATAGAGTGAACACTGCTCGAGGCCTTGCATAATTAGAGAAGAAAAGCTTTTTCCAGTCCATTTGGTCTAGCTCACCTCTCAAACTTTGATACATTCTAGAAGTTATATACTTGATTGTATGCACTGCAGTCTCCCAATAATCTGTCTGGATTACTTGTTCTCTGATTTTTAAAATTCGCTTCAGCATCCAGGAGCAGTTCTGTGGAGCCTGCCATTGCATTACATCATGGTTCTTGAGGTAGTATGCATTTATCCATCTGACCCAGAGCTTATCAGCTTTAGATTGAATATCCCACAATAATTTTGCAATTGTGGCTAGATTCCAATGCAGCAGACCTGTAATGTTAAGACCTCCAGAATTTTTGGGCTCACAAATCTTGTCCCAGGCCACATGCGCCTTGTAGCTCATCTCCTCTTTGCCACTCTACAAAAAGTTCATGCAAAGTCCTTTAATGTGATGGATGACCTTCTTGGGCAGTGGAAATACTTGCATCCAATAGGCTGCAATAGAGAATATCACACTCTTGATAAGTTGACACCTTCCTGCATAGCTCATAAGCTTGGCAGTCTAGTGTTAAATTCTCTTTGCAATCATCTCAATCAGAGGTTGACAATGCATCATAGACAGTCTCCTGTTGGATAGGGGCACACCCAACTACTTGAAAGGAAGATTTCCCATAGAAAAGCCAGTAGCAGTAATGATTTTATGTTGCTCTTAGGCCAAAATTACACCAAGGTAAAGCTTGCACTTTTGAGGGTTCACCTTTAGCCCTGTTGCAGTAGAAAAATTATTAAACTCATTCATGATAACCTTAACAGATTCAGCATCTCTTTTGTTGAAAAGGATTAAGTCACCTGCAAAAGAAATATCAATGATGTCCAGCCTTGCGCATTTAGGGTGAAATCTGAAGTTAGGATGCTTATGGATCTTCTTCAAACTTCTATGCAAGTATTCCATTATGAGGACAAACAAGAGGGGAGATTGGGTCCCCTTGTCGAATCCCTCTCTTAGCTTTCACAATCTCACTCTTATGCCCATGGATAGTATACTGATAAGAAACTATGGTGATGCAGGTCATGATCCAATCAATGTACCTAGGAGGAAAATTCATTTCTCTCATAATAGCTTCAAGGGCTCCTCATTCAACTGTATCGTAGGCCTTCTGAAGATCCATCTGGATAGCACACCTAGGAGAAATATGCTTGCAAGTATATCCCTTAAAAAGCTCATGGGTTATGATGATGTTATCATGAATAACCCTGCTTTGGGATGTGAAAACTATGACTTTTGGGGATTGGAACGTGGGAAGATCGTAACAAGCAATTGTAGGATTTTTCTTTGTTATCGTAGGATAACCGGTCACCCAAATCTGGTATCCAGTTACCACACCAAAAATTAACACAGGATTGGCTACTGTCCTACGGTAACCGGTTACCATAAGTGGGTGATCGGTTACCACGAGCAATTTTGAAAAGGAAAAGGTTACTGTCTTGTGGTAACTAGTTACCATAACTAGGTAACCGGTTACCACTGCTACTGACAACATTTTTAGAAAACTTCTAAAACTCATAACTTTTGCATCGGGTGTCCGTTTGACGCGTCATTTGGACCATTGAAAAGATAAAAAAATTTCCTATATTATGAAAATGGATTATAATGCAGTGGTTAATTATCTCATCAACTTTGATATCAATCTGTGAGTGTGCTTTGATTTGTATGTCATGAATTATATTGTGATTATTTGTGATGCTTGTTTTGTCTGTTTGAGATGAAATACATGATGAGAATGATGGTGATGGCCTGTATTGGCGAAATTGGGATGATTAATAATGATAAATGCGAAGTACGTTGTTGCATGATAGAGTCTCATGCATTCATAAGTGAAGGCCTGTATTGGCGAGTGAATGCCTGTATTGGCGAGTGAAGTTGATTGCCCTAATTGGCATTATTGCAAAGAGGGTATTTCCATGTTGATACCATATGCATTGAGTTCGTGTTGGTCTTTTGCATCATATTGTGATTGATAATTCGATGGTTGAATGTTGATGAAATTATGTAGTATATTACGATGTGTGAGATATGCTGATTATATGCTTGAACTGTTACCTGCTTATTATTATGCTTTATTTTATATTGTTTGATATCTCACCCTTTCTGTTTGAATGTTACCTTCACGTGGGTAACATGCAGATGATCAGAAGTAGCTAGAGATTGAAGGTTAGCTGAGGAGTTTCTTCAGTTGTGTAGATTGAGTCAGTGTCTTCTCTGATACGTGAGACTTGAGGGTTTTCGTGTGATTTATTTTGTTATGTTATGAGTTAACTTGTATTGCTCCATTGTTTGAGTTATTTATGATTATGTTGATGTTTGAAAGATGATATTCATTGTTTCGATTGAATAATTGAGATGACTAATTATTGATGTTTTTCTGCTGCAAATATATGTAATGAAGTTTAAGACTTATGAGCCTGCGATTGTGTTGCGTATTCTAATTTTGAGCATGTGTGACTTGCGAAGTATGTGACATCCTATTTTATTGATGTTTATTTAGAAATTAATTTACTCTGATTTTATATAATTTACTGACAGGGAAATAGGGTATTGCAATTAGTATCAGAGCAGGTCATTCCATCCAGTCAGGTTGTTGAGTCATTAGTGTAGTATGACAGTAGAATATTGTTTATGTTTTTCTACCTAACCATTGTTTGATGTTGTGATGTGAAGCAAAGCAATGGCGGGAAGAGGAAATGGTGCACCTGCTAATACGTTGCAAGCATTGGCTCAGGCAATGCAGAATTAGCCTAAGGCTGGTGGGAACAATGGGACTCGTGCCTTGAAAACTTTGTAGAGGAACCATCCGCCTACGTTCAAGAGAAAGCATGATCTTGAAGGAGCGCAGGGGTGGATCAAAGATATTGAGAGGATTTTCCGAGTTATGGAATATTCTGATGCACAGAGAGTGCGCTTTGGTACATATATGCTGGCACGTGATGCTGATGACTGGTGGGTTGCTACTCGCCAGAGACTAGAAGGCACCGAAGAGGATATTACTTGGGATGTGTTTCGCAAAGAATTTCCGTTGAAGTATACCCAGAGGACGTTCGTGGGAAGAAGGATATTGAATATCTAGAACTAAAATAATTGAATTTATCGGTAGTTGACTATGCTACCATGTTTGTGGAATTGGAAAACTATTATCCTCATTACAGCGAGGAGACTGATGAATTCTCGAAGTGTGTGAAGTTTGAGAACAGACTGCGTTTAGAGATCAATAAGGCAATTAGGTATCAACGG